GATAATTACAAATAGTTTTTGTTGATAGTTTATACGTAGCTATAGTATGGTGTGCACATGTTTTAATTGCTTCCTTCGTCCTTTACATTGAGTGAGCGTGGAAATTTTGTGGATTTTAGCTGAGCAAAGCGGAGAATTAGTGAATTATCATCGATACTATATTGGAATTGACGTTCTGATCACGGAGTTATTCTAATCTCGATAAAAACTGGCTTGTCGACGCCGATCCGCAAATCGAACGCGAATTTCATCAGCAAGCAGCACACCAATACTCATTTTGTATTGTTACTGAAGAGAAGATGGTGGTGGAAGATTTGAAGGGTAAGAACGAGAAACGATCATCGTTCACCTTATCAAGACGAACTGGCAACAACAACAGCAGCACCACTAGTAGTGGCAGTAAATTGAGAAATGCTGCAAAAAACTTTGTTACGTCAAAATCAATATCACTCTCATTATCAGCCACCGCCTCGCCATGCTCTTTGTCACTGAATTCGATGAAATTCAGAAAACATCATGTTGGTGAGAACAATGAGAAATTGAAATTGAAGGCTAGCAACTCGAGTCCAGCGCAAACCAATAATAATAGCAGTAAGTCATGCTTGTCACATTCGTGCTCAACAGCTTCGAGCTCAGTTCCGATCAGCGCATCTTTACCACTGGATGTTGGCCTTAATAAACAACAAGCTTCATCTCATCAACATCACAATTGTGCTATCGATGCAGATTCAGGTGATAATCTCACCGCAACACAACAACAGAATGATCATCATTTTGTTGCCTCTCCTTCGCATACTTCCACTATTGATATTTCTCCGAATAAGTCGGATCAAAATAACATTTCACTATTAGATACATCGACCATCGCAGCAAACAGCAACGCCAGTAATCACAAATCTACTCCGGCTGATAATGCTGTTCATGTGCATGCTGATAATAAAACTGATGCTAATAAAAATAATTCCTCAAAACACGTTGCGATTGAAGAGTTCGTTAGTGATAGCGGCGGTGGGATAAGCAACACCACGTCCGGAGCTGCACCACGAGTATCCGGCAGTGGATCGGCAAGTTCAGGATTAGAATCGGGGTCAGGTTCAGGATCAACACCATCTGCATCAGCAACAGTTTCAAGCAGGAATCGGAGCGCGAAATCGTCATCGACACGTGGCACCGGTTCGGCGTTCATAGAGCGCTTATCGAGTTTCGCTCGTGGTAAATATTTACGGAGCAGTTTAAGTTCATCTAGCGCTTGTGAGCAACGATCAAATAATGCAGCATCTTCTCCATTATCTGCATCATCCTCATCCAAGTGCTGCTATTATTATGATCGAAATGATCGACCGAAACGGGTATTTGTTTGACAGTAATTTTGTTTGTTGTTCATTCATTTGTTTATTTATTTTTTTGCTTCATTTATATTTTACGCATTCAGCTCCTTTCCTATAAATTCATCGAACACCTACTTTGAATATTTGTGATGTGATTGAATAAGATCGTGTTATTTTGACGAGTATAAGCAATTGTTTAATTGGTGTGTATTTATTCAGTGAGTGAGAGATAAGAAACAGTATTCAGTTTGATTATTTCGTCGTTTTGAGCGAATGAAGCAGAACTGAAAATTTTTTAAATTTTTATCATCAAAAAATGCAGTAGCAAATGAAATAAATAATTATGTATCACAACAGCAACAATAAGAAGGCCTAATGATAATGATGCCAATAATAATAATAATAGTAATAATAATTATTGTTATCATTGTTATTATTATTATTATTATTATTATTATTATTATTATTATTATTATTATTATTATTATT